TCTCTCTCTCTCTCTCTCTCGCGCGCGCTCTCGCTCTCTAGGTATGTCTCTCTCTCTCTCTTTCTCTCTCTCTCTTCTCTTCTCTCTCTCTCCCTCTCTCTCTCTCTCTCTCTCTCTCTCTCTCTCTTTCCCCTTCCCTCCCCCTCTCTCTTTTCTTTTTTTTCTTCTTTCCTCTTCCGCTAAGCCTACAATATTTCTTCTAGAGACATGCGCTTTCTAGGATGAACATCCACCATAGGCAAATTGTGATTTTCGTAAAATTCTTTTTGAGGATGAAATAAATCTTACAAAAGTATGCACATTGATTGAAAAACATATTCTCATCGGTTTTGCGTCCCCGTACCTGTCTGTAGTCGTGTGGCTTAGGATTATCGTATGGGCCAGCCGAATACATCCCTTGGGTGACGAATTTCTTCTTGGCTGTGAATGGTCGATCGATGTGGAAACGGGTGATGATCTCCGGCTCTCTCTCCTTCTCGTCGAAAATACGAGGCAGTCTTCCGTCATCTCTGAAAGTAAAATATTTGGATTTGCAAGGAGTGCACACATCCAAATTATTTCCAAAAATATAGGCTACAGTAATACCAATCCGTCGTCAAGGTCGTCATCATGTCGTCGTCAGCCATCGTCCTCTTCCTCCTCCTCTTTTTTCTTCTCTTCCTCCTCCTCCTCCTTCTCGCCTCCTCCGCCTCTCCTCCTCCACTTTCTCCTCCTCCTCTTCCTCCTCCTGCTCAACTTCCTTTTCCTATTATTACTCCTACTCCTACTTCAAACCCTACTCCCACTTCACCACGTTTTACCTTTCGTCCTCTTCCTTCTTCCCCTCCTCCTTACAAATAAATACGTTTCTTTTAAGAACACAACTTAATTCGTTGAACATTTTTTTCTCATGTTGTCCTTTTCTTAGACAACAAATCGGAGCTGCTCATAATTAATTGTTCTTGGGACGGATTTTTTTTAAATTGAGAAGTAGCTACTTCCTACGATGTTTATTATTTATTTTTCAAATCAAGCCTTTCCCGAAATCCACAAACCATTAAAGAAAAATGTGAAAAAATGTCGGGCACTGTAGTTTTGCGACATGTTTAAAAATCTATTTACTTCTTTTGTGTACAACACTGGCAAATTAATTTTGAATTATAATATTACTATTGCCGTTTCCTTTGAAGTCTTCGAGAGGCAAAAGATCGGCGCTCAGTTCTAAAGCAAATACAGAAAGCGGATTCTATTCTATTTACTCACCGGTTTCGTTTGATCACGTTCCTTTGCCCTGGGATGGTCCCAAAATCCCACGGTCGCATGGAATCCACTGTGTTCCTCTTGGGAGGTTTGGGATCATAGACCACATACCTGAAGTCTGGTGGGGGACGTTTCCAAATGTCTCTGTCTTTCTCTCCTGGTTTCACTCTGGTGGAAACGCACAAAATGATGGATATAGCACAGTCAATTTCTGTATGGTGAAATATTCAGGACCCCCCCCCCCGTCTCAGTGTCCTCCCCCTCCCCTGGCCCAGGTGTTTGAAGGTTTTGGTGACATTTTTCGTTTATATTTTTTTCTTTGTTGACAGATTCTGGTAGACTCAAAAGAGAGCTGAACAGAATCCAGAGTGAAATGGAGAAAAGATGGCATTCCTCAGTCAGCAAAGTTGAAGAATATAAGTGGTATACAGCATACATACAGCGGTATACATTACAAGTGTATAATGATTACACGAAATAAGTTACTGAGAAATACGTTTTACTAATAGCCTCACAGTTCGGTCTCGAACGGTTTATTTTCATGTTTGCTGAAACAGAAAGTTTTTTGTCTTTTTTATTACTCCGATCATGACATTTGTTCTCCAAAGACAGCGCAAATTAGAGCTTTTAGGATTAACTTTTACTTTTCAATCTTTTCCTTTTAGATTTCAGGCTCTAAAAACAGAAGCACTTGGTAAAAGATCAGTAAAGTGGCCTTATAAGTCTAGCTTTTATCATAATGAACAGGTTGCTTCCCTTTCAATTTCAAAAGTTTTCTAAAGCTCATAAGACAATCAACAGTTCACGTTTTACCAAAGATTAAAGGATACAAGACAAATGGTCGCTTTTAAGGACAAGCGGGCTAACCCAGATTTTTGGGGCTTTCCAGAATTCTTGACCTACACCAAAAGTGGGCATTGCCCTACCTATGAGAAGTTTAGTTTCTTTAGTGTGTATATGTGTTTGGTTATAGAGAAAACTTCTCCTTGTCTTTTAAAGAAACTGAGCAAGGGTCCGAAAACGTTACCTTCGATTTTCTCAAAACAACATTTTTCGGGATAGCCCCCTTGTGCTTAAAAGCGACCAAATATTAAGGAAAGTGCCGTAAAAGTGGGGGAATTGTTGAGTGTAAAAGAAATAAAATGGAAAAGCAAGGGGGGAGGGGAGGTTTAGAAATTGTCGACCAGTGTGAATGGAATATTGCAACAGGATAAGACGAAGAAGTACTACTTTTCGTTCTCGGCATATTACTAGAACTAGCGATTTAAATACACTAACGCCACAACTGGTTAACGCATTGTGAAGAATTACTTAACTCTTGAGACTATCTGATAAAAATACACTGCAGGACAGTAAAACAGAATACCTGGGATGCGAATTTCAAATGATCAAATAATCTGCGGCATAGATACTTGCTCGCTGATGCTCTGGTTTAATGAGTAGGCCTATTGCCTTGAAAAAAAAATCTTTGAGAGTGGTTGGCGGGTGCTCTGATGTAGTTGGCTCCTTCTTTCCAATCAACCAGTTATCGTTCTTATCTCTTTTCCTCATTTTCTTGGTAAGTTACTCTCTAATAACACCTCTAATCTTTGGCACGTATACGACCTATTTTGTGTTGCAGGTACCGTAAAACGATTACTAAAATTAAGCTGAAACGAAAAGTCAAAACATACACTTAGAGTGGCTTTATGATGGGGCGTAAGCCAAGATCGGCTATGACGGGCAGGGTCGAGAAAGTAGCCGTTGATGAAAAAAATAACTCTACAACTTAATCAACAACTTTATATTTGGTAAAACTCACTTACCGGCGGCTGCGGTGTAGCGGTTAGCCGCTTGGTTCTCGCACGCGGGAAACCCAGGTTCGATTCCCGAGTGGGGAGAAATTTGTATACAGTGTCTCGGTTTTTCAGCTGTATCTCTCTCAGAATAGGTTGGAGACCGCCTGTTTAATTACCTAAATTGTGTTGATGAGGGGTGTAAAAACACGTACATTACAAATTAGATTTATATATAAACTAGTTGGGTACTCGTTCGATTACCGGACTCAAAAGAATCGATCGCCAAGTCATTTTTACGCAAGAGAAAATTTGCTAATGATCAATTGAAAGAGAGATATGGATTAATCCTCTATTACGCTTTCGTGGTTGTACACTCCGGAATTTCAAAGGTGTTGAATCAGTTCGCACTGCTTGGGAACGGAAGCCTCATTTGTTTACAATGGTGTCTTGGAAGACGGACTTTCCCAAAATTAGATCTAAACAAAACTAATGAAAAACTGAAAATTGACATCAGTGACTTCAGACTCCTTAATATTATTGTAATTAACAGTGCATTCTTTAAATGATCCTGAACTACCGTTAATTTTTTACAAATTCGAAAATTAAGTGGTTCGGAAGTTTTAGGCGACCAAAGTGTCGAAATTTCACAAATATAATAATATATAGATGATTAAAACCCACTTACTTGAAATTTTCACTCCTGGTTTGTAGAAGGGCTTCATCAGCGTCGTAAGACGTCTTGGCGTGGAAGCCAAACTGTACAATGCCCAGGCTGCTCGGGCTCTTCTCTGTGGGCACTGAGGACTCGCTCACCGAGTCCACCGTGCTGGCGCTCATCAGACGACTCATGGCTGCTTGTCACGTGACGCCCGCTGTGTGACGTCAGCGGGAGCCAGCTTGAAGCGTCTTTGGAAGTAAACATTTTAAAAAGTAAGCGAGTCCTCCAATCCCAAAATGTCATCATATTAGTATGTGGAATAAAATCTTATGAGTTCATTTCTTTCTCACATCAAAGCCCCCCGACCCCACATATCGCCACAATTACAGTCATTTGGGATATGGGCTTCTTGGCCCCTCCCTGTCAGGGCCCTCCCTGGGAGGTAATCGATGAAATAAACTTCCCCACATGGGAAGGAACTCAACCCATCTGCATGCAATGGAAAGCGCACAACCCCTACACTACTGATGCTGGTGCATTAACTTCGTTACCAAGGCCAACCTCAAAAGTTTTCTTAATGATTGTGGTCTGTGGAAAGCCGGTTGTTATGGTTTGATAGAGAGAGGAGAGGACATGAGGATGAAATTGAATTAATTCAAATATTTTCATTGCGCTTGGTCAGGGGAGATTTTAAGTTTGATTTTATTAAAGAGAAATGCGCAACGACAGCCGTTTATTGCTTTAACACATAGTAACAGATGGACAGAAACAATAACAAAAGAGTAAATAAAGGAAAGACCTACCTATGACACTCTACTGCTCTCACAGGAGATAGAGCGGGGTGGGGGGGGGTAAAAGAAACAGAAAGGCAGAGAGAGAGAGAAAGATGAAGATACAAGTCCAGATACAAAGAGAGACGGAGAGAGAGAAAGACAGACAGAGAGAGAGAGAGAGAGAGAGAGAG